TGTGTGTGTGTGTGTGTGTGTGTGTGTGTGTGTGTGTGTGTGTGTGTGTTACATTGTAAAGTAAAGCTCCTAAAAATCTGTTTAGACTTTTCTCTAACAATCAGATCTTGTTAGAGATCCTTGGCCAGCACTTGGTGATACTGGGGAAGAAGAACTCCCTTTTAACAGGAAGAGACGTCCACCAGAACCAAACTTAGCTTCTGTAATATTCCAGACCAACATTGAATATAAATATATAGACATATTTAGGAGTTATAAGATGCGCACATGATGCACCAATAGACCAGTAAGACCTCAGTGCAAATGTAAACAGCTGAAAACAGCATGAACGTCTCCTTTAACAGTATTCACAAGCTTTAACCAAGTAAATCATTATCACATTTTAGAAGGTGTGGTAATTTGCTTACATGTGTGAAGTCGCTCACAGTAATTTCTCCCTCAGCGCCGATGCTAATCTTTCCCATATAGGTGTAAATGCAATAAGGGTGTGGCTTTTTTATAACCTAAAATCCAGCGCTTCTACAAGACTGAGAGCAGATTACTGAGGAACTGAGGATAGTTTTACCTCATGCGAGACAGCAGGTCCTTGTATGATGGCTGGATGCTGAGGTCCTCTTGTACACACACATCTCTGTTAAAGAAGGAACACACAATTCTCTGATTAAAGCATTTAGAAAACTGAAGGCCTAAAAATCAATATACACAATGCTAATAGGAGAGATTCACTTTTACATTATGTCGCCTGCAACAATAAATTCAACAAATTCACAGTAACAAATTCAATCCAAGGTTTTTTGTTGGATTTTGTTACATCTGAAATCTGACTGAAGGGGATTCAAATCCCTCCACAAAGCTGAAGTGAGAAATGCAATATTCATTTTCTTTTAACTTCAAGAACAAATGTGCAGGATTTAAGGGATGTAATTGTACAAATAGAAGATAGTGCTATATATTAGTGTACGATCACCTGTAATGACTAACTGTAATGTTTTCATTACCTGATGGCTGAGGCTAACATTTGATGTTAGTCATCTGAAGCCATTAAAGCCTCAAAGTATAAAATTAAAGGGGACCTATTAATGTTTTTAATTTTTTTTTTCCAGGATTATACTCAAGCAGCTTTGCATGATTCACAGTTTGAAATAATCCTTATTTATCTTATCCTGGGCCTCGGTGTATCCCTCAGTTCATCCACTGTCTGAAACAAGCTGCTTATCTACCTTTAAGCCAATATTCTTGTGATTCATTTGAACCGTAATTTGCATATATCTGTGGTGATCATATGAAGGATCTCTTCTCACTGGCATGATACTGTTTCAAGAGTAACATATAAATAAACAATGCGTTTAAAACCTGAAATCTAATCGCACACGATATCGTCTTAGCTCACTAAAGTCAGACAGACCTGGTGTCGACTCCAGAGGGGGTGAGCAGGAAGCAGCGGAGACAGCTGTATGTGTGGCCTCCACTTTCACCTTCAGAGTCACTCTCAGGGAGGGGTTTAATAATCTTCACAAAGGTTTCTGGGAAGATACCGGTCTGATTGTTTACTGTACCCTGAAGGAGAAAAAAAAAGAAGAAGAGGAAGAAGCGCATAAAGAAGAGGAAGCAAATGATCAAAAGATGAGCGAACAAATGAATTATGTCTCAGAGGATGGAGTGATAGGGGACTGATGATTAGACAAGGTGATGATTTAAAGGAGAGAAAGAGAAGAAAGCAGCATGGAAGTGCATCTGGAGAGACGTTTTCCCGACTAATTAGCGTGTTCATAATATGCTGCTGATGTTGGAAGCACTAAACACAATCATACAGCCTTTTTACTACACCCCTGGTGTCTCACTGTGTTACTCTGCAGAAACACATACAGAAGCTGTTTCAAAAAGCATCCAGCACTTTCACACATTTATTGTAGAACAAGGAAGCAGTATTATGTGAAAAAAAAGCCTTTCATTGTAACGCGCCGAAATCACAACTTTGGATCAAGTACAATGATGATAACACCCAGTCTGTCCTGAAAAGTTGTATATTCAAACCTCTTTAGTCAGCTGACTTGTATGTTATCTAATGGGTGTGAATTTAATAAAAATGGAGCATTTGTAGTATCTTGTGTTGCAACTTTAAAGCAATTGATAAAAGTTAAGTTAAAAAAAATTAGGATCTGAAGACAGCACATCCAGATAATCATTTTGTTTCTATCACAACTTCACGTGCTTCTGAGGTCCGTGGAAAAGGGCAAAAGTCTAGAGAGCTTGAAAGAGGTTGTAGTTGTACAACTTTGCTGCTTGATCGTTGTGGTTCATCCTGCAGCCTGCACCTGGATTACCAAATCATTACTTTGGAGGAGGCTATAAAATGTTATGCCCTGGCTTCATTTCAGGAAATTACATAATAATCAACGAACATTTATGGGCAGAACATTTTTTCACTTGATAATCTTATTGCAAGTTAATGTGCTTAAATAGTTGAGCTTAGTCTTTCTTAAATTGTAGTAACAGTACTCTAAGGACTATGAAGTACTACAAGAGGTACTTTTACTTTATTGTGACCTTTTGAAGTCTTTATTGAAAAAAATGACAGAACTGGTTGGTTAGTTGGTTAGCAGGAATAAGGTTAAAAAACATGGACAAAAAGTCACTGATATGCAATCATGTGAAAAGAAAGTTCACACAGACGTTGTTTGGCACTTTGCTGCAGTCAGATGTGTGTTTACTCAATGTGAAGAAGGAAAAACATCATGTCTTTAGGCAGGAAATTATGGGACCCATCAGTCTGAGAAGAATTACTGTATGAGGCCATTTACAAATTATTTGAAGTTTATAAATCCACAGGGAGAAAGATCTTTCACAAATTAAAAATATTCAGGACAGCTGCCAATCTTCCCAAGGGTGGACAACCCCCAAAGATTTGCTCTTTTTTTTTTTTAGCTAAAAATATTCTTCAATTTTGAGGGATTCTTGGCTCTTCAATACATTGAAAGTGGTAAGATTAATCAAAAAAATCTGATTACCACTAATTGGATTACAAACCCATCTAAGCTGATATTGGCCCTAGAATAGATCATGTTGAAACAAACCTGGATCCTGCTTTGTGTCATTTTCTACAGACTCTGTAGACGTGCTCTCTGTTGTAAGTCACTCGATAGAAGTCACTGGTCACTGCAGTCATGGGCTGAGTATGTTCTACTACCAGTGTACTTCCAGTTCTCCTTAAAGTCAAAGCTGACGACCAGTCCAAGCCTGCAGGCTTCTTTCTCTGCATCAACACTTCACAGCTGCTCGCTTCTATCACTCTCCTTTCAGTTGGCCGCTGAGCAGCACTGTCGCAGCAGCTAGTGATGAAGTCTGTTTCTCATTGGCAGCTTTGCAGCCGCTGGATTTGTCGGTTTCCAAAACTGTGGTTTCACTCTGGTGTGTTTGAAATGTTTACCTTGACGCACCAGTATGCCAGTTGGATTTGTCACGTTTTCCACCCACATCCACTCTGTCCACTGACTAACTCTACGCACTCAGTCAACTTTTCACAAGTTGTAAGTGTTGCATTAACCTCACCCCCCATCAAAAAAAACAAAAAACAAAAGACATACTACTAGTGTGGATAACAGCGTTGCCAAAAAAGAACAAAGCCTCAGCATTTTGCAGTGTTGCATAAGGACAAATAGATTATGTTTTCTGTTACTTTTTTTCGATCTCTTTAGAAAGCCGGGGGCAGGTTAAGTTCATCCTCCTCCTCCTCTGTGGTGATTCTCTTCCCTCTCCCATCAGGGCAGCTTCCACCTCCTTTCTCTCTCCCACTCACCCAGCGTCGTTCTCACATCTCGACACCTCACACAGTTTTATCAAGCATGTTTCTTTACCTTTTTTTTAAGTACTCACAAAGTGAGTGATGAAGAAGAATTACTATGACATCTATTTGCCAGCAGCCATATTCCAGCATTGCATTTTTTTAAAAAAAATGCAGAGTATTAGATAAAAATATCCACTTGTGCACGACTCATACATACAAACAGTGAAAACTAGAGCAGAGCTTCTCCAATCACACCAGGGAAGGCACTCTGTGGTCACCGTAGTAGGCTGATTCTGAGTAGGATGTTGTCAATCTTTTTTTTAAATGATTGTTTTCATTATAGTTTAACTGACTGGACTACTCGACTCTGATTTGCCACAGAGTTGGCTCTTTATCCTCTGCAGTTAAAAAAAGGCCTAGTGAAAACATTTTAAAAATATGTAAAAGACAAATAAATCAAACCAAATCAAAAGATTATTGTAAAGCAGCAGGTCCGTTGCTCATAGTTGTTATTCTAGATCTCAGATTGGGCTGAACTCTTTGTGGATACTAGTGGATACATATTACAAACCTGGCACATCATTTCTTTATCATTTCAGATTTCGACATACTCACACCAAATAATAAAGGAATAAATAAATCGACAAATAGACAGATGTGCATGTCTTTCAATCATGACAGTCTGCAAACATGGACACTGTCATGGCTTGCCATGTTCGCGGTTTTTCTCTGTTTTCTGTTTTTTGTTTACATTTACACATCTCCTGTCACACATGTCTAGAGACCAGTGGCAATCCTCAAAACTGTGTACATGCTGGAAGCTATTTGAAGCGACGGGGCAACAAGAGACAAGAGAAAGTGAGTGACATTTGATCATTTAAGTGACTGCAGGTGGGAAAAGTGCCGGTGAGGAGAAGTTGGTGGGACCCACGATAAACTCTTCACAACTTCCAGGTGAATAACTGAAGCAACTACCAATGACAATGAAGAATACTGTTAATTGACATATGAAAGGCTGATGTCCTGCAGGTTTTAGATATCACCCTGAAACCACACATGAATCAAATAATTAGTTCATTAGCAGGCTTCTGGAGAACTTCAAGACATGTTGAGGAGGAGGTCATTTAATCATTTAAATCAGCTGTGTTGGATCAGGGACACCGGCCCTTGAGACCTGGAGTTCCCCCACCCCTGTGTTAAAGGGTCACCTATGAAACAAAAACCCAGAATAGCTGCAAGCAAACAGCTGTTAGCTTCAAAGCGATGTGTTACCAGCAAATCACTTCCAAAGTGTACGAGGGTCTAACAGCATCTGTACGACAGAAGAACATGTGAATCCCGTGACGGTTTCACGATTGCTTCCTAGAGCAGGGTTGGGCAACTCCAGGCCTCGAAAGCCAGTGTCCTGCAGGCTTTTGATATTACCCTGGGTCAACACGCCTGAATCACATAATTAGTTCATTACCAAGCCTCTGGAGAACTTCAGGACATGTTGAGGAGGTCATTTAGCCATTTGAATCAGCTGTGTTGGATCAAGGAAACATCTAAGACCTGCAGGACACCGGCCCTCAAGGTCTGGATTTGCCCACCCCTGTCCTAGAGCTTACTGGCTCCGCTGCAAGGAGTCTTTTGCACCAAAAACATCCACACGACTGCTTTGGCCACAAGCGGATGGCAGGGATTGCCTATCATTTACAAGGAAAACACAGAGCTGTCTGCAAACACTGTTTGCTATTCGAGTGCGTTTCCTTGTGTCACTCATACTGCAGGATTTATCTTACTTTGTCTATGGACTTCAATGTTGCACTTTTATTACCAATAAAGTTGTGCTTTTTGTTTATTCCACCTGCCTCCTGAGTTTGCATTTGGGTCCTCAACCTGCAAACTGTAACAGCCTTTAAAGTAAAAGTTGTGCCTTCCTCCTTAAACCAATAAGTTTCAAAGGACACTTTTACTTTTACACTGAAGGTGAATGTTGAGGTTTCAGCGACACTCCTCACAGCTGCATCTTCCATAAAAACTACAGGTGACCACAGCGATCAGTTACTGAAGTGTTTGTAAGGAGGTACAGTGGTTTGAAAACAAGTTTGCCCCGTTCCTGTTTTTTTGTATGTTTGTTACACTTAAATGTTTCAGATCATCAAACAAGTTTAAATATTAGACAAAGATAACACAATTCAAACTAAATCCAGTTCATAAATGAAAGTGCTTATAATTATATAAGGGGGAAAAAATCCAAACGTACGTGACCCTTCGTTAAAAAGTGATTGCCCCCTAAACCTAATAACTGGGCCATCCATAGCAATGAAGTATTTGCAATAACTGGCAATGAATCTTTTACAGTGCTGTGGAGGAATTTTGGCCCACTCATGTTTGCAGAATTGTTGTAATTCAGCCAAAGTTGAGGGTTTTCGAGCATGAACCACCTTTTTAAGGTCATGCCACATCATCTCAATCTGGCCAGGACTTTGACTAAGCCACTCCAAAGTCATTGTCCTGCTGCAGAATCCTCCAGTACACTTCAGCTTGAGGTCACAAACACATGACTGTTTGTAAACAGCAGAATTCATGGTTCAGTTATTACAAGTCTTCCAGGTCCTGAGGGAGCAAAACAGCCCCAGACCATCACAGCACCATATTTTACTGTTGGTATGATGCTCCTTTTTGTTGTTTAAGGGTCTTTTGTGACCTCTTGGATGACATCATTGGATAACCTGTTTACCAATTACATTACCAATTACATTCCTTTTTGCCCTCAAAACAAATCAAGCTGACTCTCAGTCAGCTTGATTTGAGTGAATTCAGCTTTGAGAGCAGAGCTGCCTGTAAGCGCATGATTCTACTGCAACGCTCGCCAAGCAGACACTCGCATCTACAATGGCTTCTTTGTGCATCTAGCTGCTGAGTTCTACGCGCGGGTTATTGATTTTGAGGAATTTGACTGCACAAGTGCCAAAATATAATTCTATATAAATATACATGTTCGTATATTTACTGGAATATATCTGTGCACACAGTCTGGGCAAACATTAGAACAGTCTGCGGGACTCAGATGTGTGTAAAACTAAAATATCTCAGTCTTTTGTCCATCAGTTTTGTCCATCTTTTGGAAGAGGTGCTGGACAACTGGAAAGTGGATGTGTGTGCATTTATTTAGGCTGCAGTCTCTCTCTGTTCTCCTTACTTTCTTATCCTGCCTATTTTTTATCTACTAAGCTAAAAGCAGACAACCATCACTTAACCATTACTTTCTTTCTCTTCTTCACTCTTCTTCATAATTGTATTGCTCATTTTCCCTCTCTTGATGTTTCCCTAATTCCATCTCTCATCATTGCTCCACTCTGATCTTTAGCTCTTCTATTTTTATTCCTCACTTTTCCCAATATACTCCCAATGAAGACACCACCTCTTTCAACGTAAAAAAAAATCTCCTCTTCTTTTCTTCCATCTCATCTCCACCTCCACCTCTTCTTTATTTTCCCACCCCTCCCTCTCACTCTCCATCCAGCTTTCTCAGGCTTCCACTCTCCCACTCTTTCGCTGCCTCTCTCCTTCTCCACCTTTCTCTCTTTCTCTCGTCCCTCTCATATTCTCGCCCTCTTTCTCTCTCCGTTCTTACCTCCAGCCAGTCGACATTGACTCGTCGCAGCAGGAAGATCACCTCTCCCTTCTTCAGGTTCAACTCCGCCTTGCTGTTGCCGCGAAAGTCAAACATCGCCTGAGAAACACACACACGCACACATACACACCACAAAAGAGAGAGTACACACACACGCACGCACACAGAAAGTCAGTGAGAGAAAAGAGGAGCGATTTAAAAGAGCATACGGATTCAACACAAAGAAGGAACAATGACGGGTAAGACACTTTTTGCATGTGTATCATTAAGAGAGGAGAGAGCGAGAGAAAGAAGGGACGCTAGAACAAAAATTAGCCTGAAGATGATAATAATTTTGAGCAGAAAAGATATATGATAGAAAGAAAGTGAAGTTGTGAGTCTAAGAAGAGTTTTAAGGTATGTTTGTGTAAGAGAGAAATAAAGCACAGGAATGAGGAAAGGAGGGCTGCCGAAGTAGCAGTGTTCTTGCTGATACTGGTAAATATGTGTAAGCCTGTCAAACTCTACATGTATGTGTGTGCGAGCTAACGCTGCAGCTGAGGATCAGTTCCAGTAACAACTATTATATATTTATGGAATTTTGAGAATCAGAAATAAAAGTGTGACAAACGCTTGCATCCAAGGTTAACCATTTTTATAGATGCCTATTTTTTCTAATCTAGAAAACATTTATGTACTATAGCTGCATGTGGCACCGTTTACATAACATATGATATACAGTGTCTGTAGTCACTTCTACAAGCGTGAGTGTGTGTAGGATGAAGTCAAAAGCTGGTACGAGGACATTGGAAAACTCAAAAGTTATACAGCCTGAGGAGGCGCCACACTGCAATGTAAAGGTGTGTGTGTGTGTGTGTGTGTGTGTGTGTGTGTGTGTGTGTGTGTGTGTG